TATATGAGCTAGCGGGGTCAATCAAAAGCCATTTTGTAGAGCGTGTTTTACTGCGTCTTTTCATCATAGAGAGAAATTTACAAACATGTGTTTTACTTTAGAAAAATTATTATACAAATCGAGTCAGAACTTCTGGGCCACCCTTTATTGATATTTCGTTTATGTGAACCTCCACGCAGTAAGCGTTTGGAGGTATTGGACAATCAACGTTTTTCATTTTGATAAATTGAAAATTGAATAATTTTGATACTTGACTAGGCTTTCCAACGCTCTAGTCGAGTTTTTTTCTGATCGACAGAAACTACTTCATTTGTAATTGAACCAAATTTGCTAGAAATTGAAAATATTTAACGCATTTTGATATATTCTTATACATGGTACTATTGAGTCGATGTAACCATTTATTTCAATATTAAAATAATCTAAAATAACAGGAAGTACATGTATTATAAATCACTCATAAGATTTATCGCCATTAACTTCTAAAAGTTGGATGTTTATCAAATAAAATTTATGTTCATCCTATCTTGTTGATACAATTCTTCTTATTTTTGTATACACATTGAAATAATTCAGCCCTTTTCACTCTTTATTCTAGACTATGACTCATCATATATACATTTCCTTGCTAACAACAATAAGAGAAAGTAAAATGTAACTGAATCAAACACTGGACAACAATTTTTCTTCAATTCAAATTAGGGAAGAAAAAATATGGACATTGCATCGGTCTTATCCAGATATATTGTGTATGTACGAAATGCGACGATGTTTTTGAGGAACTAAGTTGTTGATACACTAGCATACATTCATTTTTTCACATGCGTTTCAGAACATACAACTACGGATAAAAAACTTGAACTGTGATCATTTTTGTTGTATAATATGTCAGAGAACAAAAGTGGTCAAAAAAGAATTAACTTCTTCATGCAAAGAATGGAGATCTTGTGTTCTTTTCCAAAACTGTTGCTTTCAAAATTTGACTTTCTATCATGTGCGTCTTCAACACTATGATATATGGTGTCGGATCCAGCTGTTGTATGGTACGTACGGCCGCACGTATCTTAGGAACAAAAAGTTATTTCTTCCTAGCAGAACTGTCTTAGAAAACTTTGTATCTATGGGGAGCGCACGTACCACACGTACCAAAGAAAAATTCTAGATCTGTCACTGTCATAAGATTAAAGAAGTTATACTAAGAGTTCTTGTTATGTAGAACAATAAATCAATAAAATATATATATCTTATAGACAGAAGTAGTCGATTGAAATGTCTTCAGCAGTGAAAGTGAGTTTTTTGTGTCCGTCAGTGTTTTTGGCATTTATTTTTCAAATTTAATTTGAAAGAAAATATAGAACAGAAGAACAACATCAATCAAAATTCAAAGTATATCTAAATAACACTCTTGTTGCCAACTTTTACTTCTAACATCAGGGATCCCAAATCTTCTGATTTTTGAACCTTTTTCTGCCTTGTTTCTGCTTTTGAAATTATTTTATCTGATCATTTTCTGATTTTGGAATTCTTCTATCCTTATTTTCACGTTTTTTGATCTGATATTCCTATCTAAGATAGTAATAATCGTAATTGTTAGGATACGTTGGTCAGAGTACGCGAGAATGAAGAGTTAGATCTGGGGTAAGTCCTAGAATATATCTGTTAATTCTCAATGACCTTGTTTTTTTTAGTTCTGCATCTTGTATGTAATAAAAAAGAGAAAAACGACAAAAAAGAATTGTTAATAGAATTTCTGTATTCAAGTCTCGATTTATATTCATTTATGGTTCCCTGAGGAGAACGTTTCATTTATATATCGCTATCTAATTGATATATAAAGTTTTATCTATATTGATTCTAAGTGATTTATAGACCAAATAAGAGGAAATTCTTCTATTAGTGAGGGTTTTTTTTAGAAAACATTGGTATAGAAAAAACTATCAAAAGGCAAATTTTCTTATTGTATTAAATCTCTCCAAAGCTTAAACACTACACGATCCTAAGTGTGATTTCCCCATAGTTTTATATCTTCTTTTTGGTTTTTAGTCGCAAAACGTTTTGTAATCTCCCTGGTGGTTGTTGTAGAATCTAACCGCATGAAAAGTCGAATCCACAATTTTCTGGGATATGTGAAGGTAACTAACGAATAGTGTCTGAATTAGTTAAACAGTACAAAGTCAAATTGTTTTTATTTTTATTTGTCACTTGTAGATAAACGCGAGTTTCTTCGAAATTATGTTATAAATAAAATAAAAAAAATAACGAAAGAAAAATGACATAAAATAATAAAGTTGAGTGGACAAAGATTCGAAAAGACGTAGATATACTCTGTTTATTACTTTCAACTAGTCAACATAATTGTGATAATTAGTTACAAATTATGATTCTTTTATATTAAGAAATTATCATAAATTCTGATGGACGGAAATATTTGCAAATTCTTAAAACATCTGGTATATACATTTGAGATCTTGAGATTTCTGTAATTAACAGAAGAGACATTATAAGAATAAACTACATTAATAACTACTCAACTATCCATGTACATTAAGTTCGAAACGTAAATAAAACTAAGGAAATCTAAATGAAAGAAGGAAATAGATGATCGAATTCATTCGAGTCAAACTGTTTTCCTTTATTTTCGTCTTATTGTCAAATGTACTGATTCTACCCTTTTCATGCGAACACTCGTAGAACAAATATTCTGATCTGATGGAAAAACAACGACTGTAGAAACAAATAATGTAGAGCAAGAGAAGAGATGGGCGAGTACGAGTTACATACTCGTTCTTTTCTTAATGCGTACTCGAGTAATCGAACGAAAATCTGTTTAACTAAAATAAAAAAGAATTCAAAAGAGACTGATCGATATACTATCATTACACGAGAAGTTTACCGACGACAATTCTATTTTTTAAAAAAATTTGTATTCGAGTAGAACTGTTTTGTACTCGTACTCGCCACTAAATACTTGTATTCATACTCATACTCAAAAAAGTGTGTATTCGACTACCTCTAGCAGATAAGTCATGAGAGAGCGAGAAAGTCGAGACTAATCAGACAGAGTTTACTGTACAATACATGTCTTAATGTGTCACACATGCGTTAATCTACGCACAAAAATAAATATAAACGTGTTCTTCTTTGGTTCAACTAACTTTAAACAAAACAGTTGAAAATGATTTGTTTTTTGTCTATATTTTTAATATAAATAATGTTACCAAATTGCCAACGATTTTCAAAATAAGATATGTAGAAAAATATCTGTGTACACACACACCAGGCAACAAACTTGAAGCAAATGATTCAAAAAAACAAAACAAATAAAATTGGGCATAATAAATAGAAATAAAACGAAAATGTACGCAGTGTATTTTTACAATTACTTTGTTTTGTTCATCTATATAATTGAGATAAAATAAAAAGAAAACAATAGAAAATATGTTAAATACAAAAATTCTCAAATTTTGAGCGTAACGTAGCAACAAAGTCACGAAAAAGAGAGTCGACAACAAGAAAGTAAGTGAACGTACACACATACGTACAGTTTACGAATGTATGTAAGTAGAAAGTATATATAAATATATTCGAAAAGTCAAAAGATTTTAGATTAAAATTGAAAATGTGTCTGTTACAGTTTAACACAAAAAAATATTTCACATCCAATAAATCTAATGACTTAGTTGGTTCCGTAGCAACATTTGTAATGTCAATCAACAACAGAAAAAGAAACAAGTTACAATTAGATTGGCTAGTAGTAGTAACTATCAAATTTTCCCGTTGCTCTGATAACAGTATTTCTGACACTCGTAGAAACGATCGAAATAGAAAGAAAGACGTTGAATACTTGTAAAAATATCTAGCATCAGTTTAAATAAATAATATATTTTAGAGTCATATAGACGGTGTAAAATCACTTTAAATCACTGCATAATTTACATTAATCGTTTTATCAATATGTACAATATTTTAATGAATAAAACGTTTCAAAATAATAAAATTTTCTTCTTATACGTTTAATTTGACCCAGTTCTTGTTGAGTCATCATCAATGTGACTAGAATCGATACTCTCTACGATATTATCAATTGTTCGAGCAGATTCTGATGTTGCTAATGCTGATTTAGCGGTTACTGTTACTTTTGGTGTTGAATAAACGGAATTTGTTATTTTTGAACGTTTTAACATTTGTTGTGCTTGACCTTTCGAGATCGTGCCATAGTGGGAGTTCTAGAATGAAATTAATAAAAATAATGTTACATTATAATTCGTAATTTTCTTATTATTTAATAAAATTTAACAAAAAATCTTAACACTACGAATAAAATTAAATGGACATGATATTATCTCTAAACATCAGCTATAAAACGAATAGCCACTCAGTTTGATGATTATACAGTAAAAAGTAGTTGTTGATAAAAAAAAATTCTCTCATGAAAAATTGAAATCAACTACTACTATCAATCAAAAAAACGTTATTGACATTAAATAAACCTAATTTCAGTTCAGGAGAAAAAAAACAAACAGAACAGAGACGTTTTAAAGAATCTAAATCATTTAAAATGGGAAACAAATTGAATATCTCAAAGAAACTTTAAGTCAACGATTTTAATATCATGCACGCCTTGAATGATGATGATGTATTTCTAAGAATCTTTCGAAGCGCAGTAAGAAGAAGCAAGAAGTTGGCATTTCAAGAAACAAGGTCTTAGTATGTTGTTCATTTATATTTTTTTAACTAACAAGTAAAAGGAGATATGATTTCTTGTCTTACCCTTGTTCCTTAAAACGAAAAGAGCAAAAAAAAGTTGAAATTAAAATAAACAAGCAGAAAAAACAAAAATACCGTGAAGTTATTAGAAAATTATGTTTGGTACCTCTGCTGAAGAATAAGGGGCGCCAGATTTTTTACTATTAGAAACTGTCGATGCCCGAGTTTTTCGTTGTTTTTGTTGAGCAATAACATTTGACATTTCTAATTCTTCTAATTGGCCTTCAGTATTATCCTTTGAAATTTGATAAGCTAAATAAAACGGTTTGGATACATTATGAAAATATGAGAGAAAAAACAATTAGAGAGCTATTCATACGTGAGAACTGTTGCTGACCAGGTGTACTCTTTAGAAATTGACGATCTTCGTCAAGACGTGCTTTTAAATCATCATCATCATTTTCTAAATGAAATTAGGAAAGATTTAATTGAAAAAAGTCCTATGTTGGCCACCAATAATATATTATGTTTACCATCTTCAACTTCTTCAAGTATAGCATTTTTATTTATATATGCTTGTAATTGTGAATGAACGATGATGTCATTTGTACTAAGACTTCGTTTTAAATGTTCACCAAGATAAGCCTGACTCTAAAAATAAAACAAAAAAAATAATAAATTTCAACTGTTAGATAAAATCAAGAAGAAATTAGACCTTACTAATATTGCTGTATTTAAAAATAAAGTGGATGCATATCGAAAACTTTTATGACCCAGTTCAATCAATGTAGAATAACCCTTTTCTTTTGTTCGCTCTAATAATTCATCGATTTCCTAAAGAAAAAAAAACAAAAATGTGACATTTACTCATCTTTATGCAAAAAAAACATTATCAAATAGAAAAAAAAAAGAGAAGAAACTTATGGGACACATTTATTCTTGACTATTGATTAATTTCAGTTCAGATAATAATCTTACTTTATTTCATTACCTTCTCTCGTTCTTTTAAAACAGGTTGCACAAAACGTTTATAAATAAATGTTGAACCAGCTGGTGATATCATCCATAGTACTACACAAATTTTCATCCAATAGTAAAATGGAAACCTAATAGACAAAAGTGGCAAGGTAAAACAAGATATATGTTAATATCAATACAAGGACATCTCTACCATGATAGAATAATGTCAGTGATTGTTTCAACAGCAATAAATATTGCAAATACAATCCAATATCGAAGACAATTCACCTAAATGGAAAATAATATAAATAGTAAAACATTTTCTTGAACACAATCAAATCACTCAGACGAGAAGTAGTATCTACTATTAGAGTGGCAAATGTTTTTCTAAAGTAGCTATATGTTCATTCCAAACAATCTCTACATACCACTGCTTTTAAATCTGAAGTCATGAGTGCTTTATAACTTTTATACGCTGGATAAAGTGTACCAATTGTTACACTAAAAACAGAAATATCAAAAAAACAATGATATTTGATTTTTAGAAATGAAATTGTTGGATACATACATAATGCAACGAGCAATCACACAAGTCACCATTATTGATTAGATGTATCGACAAAAAAGTAAAATCTGAAATAATATCATAATGAAGTAAAAAAATAAAATAAAATACAGTAACGACAGGTATAATTTGCGTTACGCAAAAAAACATCAGCAGCATAAATATATTATTGTATGATTATGCGTGGGTTTTTGAAAAAAATCAATTAAAAAGCACATTTGTACAGAAGAAGAAAAAAAGAGAGAATAAGGGCTAGAAGCAAAACGAAAAATGATGGAATAAAAATATTTTATGAACATATTCCTTTAAGATATATAGAACTTATAGTCAACAAAGTAGTAGTATCATGTAATAGATTGGCAAAATGGTATAATAAATCATAACAACTAAAAAAGAAAAGAATCTGTACATGCATACTAAACATAAAGAATTATCAAGCTGAAGAATATAAACAATAGAAATAATATCGTGCACTATACTATACGATAGCGACAATAGTACCTTCAATTATGTTTAGAATATCTACATACATAAGTATAAAGAACGAATATAAACTCTTGTCAGACATTGTGTCTGCTATTAAGAAAATCTGTCTACGTTTATTATATCGCAGCAAGTAAACGGATAAAAGAAATTTTTTCTTTTGTATGCACAGTTTAAATTATCAGCTGTGAGCAAAAAAACATTTTGAACTATTCTGTTGCTACAACAAAGATAAACTATATTAACATAAAATGAAAATGACGTTGACATTGTCAACGTTCGTGCTTAGAAGGTGTAAGGGGCATTTACATCCTAGTTTATCTTGAATATATTATATTATATGTACTGTTTTAGATATAAATAAGATTTCCTATATATCATATAACTTTTTTTCATTTTTCTATACTTTAGAATGAAAATTTACTTTCTGATTGGCAGTTTCCATATGTTTTCATTAGCGTGTTCCCGTAACCAAAGGAAAAGGTAGCACAGAAAGTGACATCTTTCTCGAAAGTTTCAAGTAAACTGAGAAAGTCTTTATATTTTGATAGCGTTTTATACCTTCGTTGTCATAAATTCTAGTATGAACAACTTCTAAAAGTTAAGTACCTAATCATTATGTTATTGAAGTGTTTTATTACACGATTGCATCTAACCTACCGTTATAATGTATCGTTACTCACTCTATCACTGTTCGCTCAACTTTTAGCCAAAACTGGGTACGTTTAGAATCACAGAATATATGGATAGTTTCAGTAATATCCTCGAATTTTGATCACAAAATGTTAGATTGAAGGCGCTTTTTTACGTTGATTGTAGAGTTGCGTGCTTAATTTTAACGAATAACTTATCTCGATCTAAATGTGTTATGTATTCATAATAGTTATTTTTTGTCAATGTATAAAGCGTGAAGAAGAAGTGTGAATTCGTACAAGAGAAATAATAGTCATTAAAAGGCCCCGGCTTATAATAATAATGACTCATACTAAACTACAGACAAGAGACAAACAGAATATAATAAAAACATAAGAAAAGGGAATTGAAATATGCAAAATAAAGGTAGATAATAAAAAGTACATAGAGTATTTGGTGAGTTTCGTTCTTAGCAAATAGAGATAAGCGAAAACTAAAGCCTTTCTGTCATCATTAGGAACTCTACTTGCATATAATTAAATGGGAAAAAAATTTGCTTATTTACGAATTTTTCCTTCATATTTTGAAATGTAAGTTCATTAAATGAAAGTTTTGAATTTAAATAAACACAAAATCAAAGTTCATTTACTGCGCTGTAAAAGAATTTTTATCGATACGGATTGTGTATGGTTACGCACTGATTTTCACTATCCAAGTAAAATGTAGATTTTTGCAACATACCTGTACAGATTTTGTAATTTGAAAATTTCTGCCTGAGAATCTGCATGCCGAATGTATGCAACGTTTGACTTGAACGTCTAATTTTGCAAACATAAAATTATCAGAAATTTCTCAGACTATGCAAGTGATCGGTGCAGAATCTGTTAGTATTCTGTAATAACCTACGACAGTTCTGTGTAGATTTTGTAAATTCTGTCAGAATTGGAAGTACATATCTTATCTACATTCTGCAGGCTTCTATTGCAGATTTGATTCAAGTTTTATACAGATTTTCGTTGCAGAAAATTCCATTGGGCAGCGCTACACGTAAATTATTTTTTGCACAATAATTTGATTTCAGATAAGTTAAGGTTACCGAAATATTCACTATTCTATAGAAGAAATATCTCGTTTAATTATTGTTTGTACGAAAACAGTGAAAAACAAGAAGTCTAATCATGTATTTGTTTGTTAGAATTAAAAATTTCCATCCATTAAATATGTGTTGCTAAAAACACGACATAAGCATAACTTCTGCATCTAATCACGCACCATATCGACAGTTAAATGAACTCTCAATAATAAAATGCTCGCCATCTCTTTTCTTTTGAGATAGACAAATGTACCATACAGTGAATGCTTTTATATGATATGAAACAACAGTGAATGCTTTTAAATTCCATTCATTATTTTTGAATACATTTCTCATTCAACAGCGGCATTTTCTTTTTGACCGGATGAAGGACTAACTGTTTTAGTCCTATGTATTAATTTACTGTACTGGAGAATAAAGTGAACGGTGACTTGTGATTATCTAGATATGCTATACCACGTGTGCTCAAAGGTATACTTTTTTTCTAAAAATCAGTATTGGACATACAGAAATAATTATCTAGTCCAAACACTTCTCGTACAACTGAAGCGATTGTTCTATTGCGTAAATCTGTCGCATTGAAATGTTTTATTTCCCCCTTTCGTTTTCTTATTCATTTTTAGCTAAACATTAAAGAATGTATGTATTTGACCATGCTGAGCAAGATTTTGAAAGTATTTTTGTCTGGTATAATATAGTTCGGAAGAAAGAAATAAAAATTTTCAATTCACCTATAGAAGTGAATACATTTAGTTGATTCACTATAATCTGACAAATCTTTTGTCCTTGAGGTAATTACATTCATGATTCACACTCACTTACTTTTTTCAAAAGACTTGTATCGATTGATAGATCGTTATTGTGTACAAGCATAGATGAACGCACACTCTTTACGTTTTTTGACAGAAAGGCGTTACTCCAAGAAATTTGTCTAATATCTCATTCGATGTAGTTTTGTATGGAGATTACAAATATGTATTTTGTGGGATCCGTAAGATGACTTCTTAGATATCGATTTCCATCAATTATTTTCACTTATTCACCCATTTTAAGCACTTTTCAGAAAAGTCACGTTTAAATCTTGGTACCACCTATGGGAAAATTTTGTCGAAGTTTCACGACGTTAGGGTCATGCGGTTACAACATCACATGCGTAGTCACGTGTGAACGTTCTATAATTTCACGCGCGTTCACAAGCGAGAATTTCTTTTCATGTGTTTGCTAGATGCTCAGATCAGAAATGCGGAAAAAAAAACGGAAACGCATTTTCATGGTAAACTTCATCCGTTTTCACATGCAGAGAGTAAAAAAAATGTTTTCTCTAGCACTTTGCGGTTTTACTCAATAAAACACAAAAGAACAACAAACAGAAATGTAAATATCGATTTTAATTGACGCTTTGTTTTTTGACTGTATATTTTTGATTAGAATGAATAAGTTTAAGCAGTTCTGATGTTGATAAGAAATAATTATAAATTTCAATGCATGATAACTATAAGTTTAAGCGAATTTTTAACTGAGGAGAAGCAGAAAATGCTTAAAAAAACGCTCAAAAATCTGGAATTTGTCCGCAAAATGCGGTCCATCTGGCAGCTCTGTCCACACACTGTTTTATGACTTTCACTAGTGACCACGTGCGAAAAATATGACTCGAAAAGTTTCTGTGAGCAGTTCCCGCGTTGTCACAAGTGGAATATATTTTTTTGCGCATGCCCACACATCATTTTACGATGTTTAGGTCCGATCAAAGTTCATTTCACAATATTCACAGGTGTACACGCCGTTTTATGTACTAAAATTTCCCCATGGGCAGTCAGTTTATTTTTTGAAATTAAAATAATCTGTGTTACCCATGGGCAAATTTTAGTACATAAAACGGCGTGTACACCTGTGAATATTGTGAAATGAACTTTGATCGCACGTGAACTAGGCATGCAAAAAAAATGGTTTGTATTTTCGCAGCAACAAACTATAAAATTTCTGAAATCACCAGTCTTGTAGAGTAAACATTTCTCTACAAGATGGCACATAATAGATATTTTTAAAGTTGTTTGGTTTCTTTAAAAAACATTTTTGATAGAATGACCCAGCAGTTAAAAACCGCTGTTTACAGTTCATTGTTGCGATGGCAATTGTCAACGATAATTCGTTGTTGCGAAAATACAAACAATTTTTTGAAAGACACGAAAAAACCTTATAGAAATTATAGAAAGTTCACACGTAACCACGCATTTGACGTTGCAACCAGTGTGCCCAAATCCAGTTTTTTGAAAGCCGAAGTTCATTTGTCACAGACTGGAGTACGGATTGAGGAATAAGATTTTGATTCAATGGATTTGAAAGTTCACTAATCTCATCTTCTTGCGATAAGAACATTCGATAAGCACACAGCAGGCGCTTTCAATATACAATTATTTAGACTCTTGATCCAGAAATTCTGTTTCTGAAACTGATAATCTCAGTTCTGGAAAACAAATTGATGCAGAAAAAAATCAGGAGAAAATCTTAAAAATCACCTCCTGGAATCAGGAGAATTTTCATCAGAAAAAAAGTCTAAAAATCAGGAGATTTGAGCACTCTGATTGCAACTGCACGAGCCCAACGTCGGTGATATTTCGACAAAATTTTCCCACCCGAATTTCTTAGCTCGGCGCGGCCAGCCATCATTTTGTTTTGTTTATAAATCGTAAATGAAACGACGCAGACAGCTATGACACGTCTTAAATTGAAGAAAAAACTACTATGAACATTTTACAGCGCGTCTCACCTCTGTAACATATCTCGTTTTATAGATCTGATAGAAATATTGGCAACTACTTTTCGATTCTGCAAAGTTTAAATGTAGTTGCCAATATTTCTATCAGATCTATAAAACGAGATATGTTACAGAGTTGAGACGCGCTGTAAAGTGTTCATAGTAGTTTTTTCTTCAATTTAAGACGTAGCTGTCTGTGTCGTTTCATTTACGATTTATAAACAAAACAAAATGCTAAAAAAACGTTACGGAACTCCTTTACGGTAGCAGAGTTAGCTGGTCACGCCATGGTTCATTTTAAAACCAAGTTTATCAAAATATTTTAGTGGAAAAATCTTTCTATTACTAAACTGGACCCAAACGTGCAACAATTGCCCTAAAACAATTAAAACTCACGAACCAAACATTTCAGACAAAAAAAAGTAGAAAAAGTATGTCTTAGTCTACCTTCTTAAATGATTTTAGTCAAATATACATTTTCTCCCTCGAAAAGTTCATTTTTTACTCTTTTGCATAAAAATACTATGGGAAAAAACACAACAATAATCTTTACTTTGTTGTTCATACTGTTCAGTTGACACAAAAAACAGAGAGAAAGAGAGAGAAAGATGAATTAGAAGTTAATTAAAATATTCATTTTAATTTTTAACTAATTTTACATTATCTTCAATGTCATCATATTGTTCATATGTTGAATTTTGATCCAAATAGGAGATGACAGTTGTCGAACGTGTTCTTAATTTAACGTTTTTCCAATTATAAATAAAATATGATAAAATTAGAATGAAACATGTTATTGACAATGATGATATTAATAAAATTATTAATTGTATGTGTGTTGTTGTTGTTGTTTGATGACATTGATCAATATTAACATCGAATAATGTTTGATTCATTGAACATAAATAAGCATCCGATTCATGCATATTCTTTTGAATAATTGTTGTTTTTCTAAACCATTGAATAAAATCTTTTGTTTTACAATTATTACAAATAAATGGATTAAAATCAATTAATAAATAAAATTGATTTTGATTTATTTTTAATTTTTCTAATGATTGAATTCCATTTTGAGAAATAGAATTAATTTGATTTGATATTAAATTAATCATCATTATTTGTGTAGGACACGATGTTTGAAGATAAATATCATTAAATGTATTATTTGATAAAAATAAAAGTTTTAAAAATGGAAATAGACAATGAAAATCAATTTTAGACCATAAAGAATCAATTGTTTTTAATTTATTTGATTCTAAATGAAATTCTTCTAAATAAGAATTATTTGATAATTCTTTAATAACATTTAAAAATTCAATTAATTGTTTATTATCTGGTCCTGTCATACTCCAGACAAATGCTTGTCGTAAATATAAACGTTTTAACATTTTTAATGAGTTTAATGAACGTATAGAATCGGATTCAAGTTGATTATAATCGAGATTAAGTAATTCTAATGATTGCATATTATCAAAATAGTGTTTATCTATTGTACGTATCCTGTTTGATGCATAACTTAATCGGACAAGTGTTTGAGATGTATTTAAATTTAATAAAATATTGAGATTTTCAATATAATTATTTGTAAAATAAATATCTGTAATTGAACTATCTGTTAGTAACATTTGATTTAATTCAATTAATGTTAAATTTTCGACATTATTACAATTAATCATATCATCTGTACAGGAACATGCTAATGGACATAAAAGTAATGAGAAATATGGAAAAAAATAGTTAAACAATAGAAAAATGATTAGGATTAAATTGGAAGACATTATAATTATGTTATGTTATTTTCGTCGATTATAACCTCAAAAAAACACAGACATATATAGAAATAAGAATAAAGGAGAAATTGTGTGAACCGTAATGAAATATGATCGACAAATATTTCATTTACACATACACAAAGGCAAAAGATAAGAAATAATCTTCTATTCCACGATTACAGATGTATTTAAACAAACGAGACATAATATGACTAAACGTATATAAAACACTTGAATTTACATTGTACTGTTGATGATCTCAAGATTCAATACTCGTGAGTAGTAAGTACTATTTGTGTTCAATTAACGATAAAAACTATAAACATATGATAGTAATATCAGAATATATATTTATAGTTTTGTTTAATTAAACTTGACCAGAGATGAGCAAGTCGTCCAAGTCCGGACATGGGAATTTTTTGTCAAGTCCGTTTGAAGGTCAAGCAGTTAAAATCTTTTACATTGAACAGCGGAATGAGTATAATCTGATACTTAATTTATTAATCATCATTCATCAATGTATCGATAAAATTTCATTTACCCGTTATACATGATTATGACGTACTGTGTAGTACAGAAACTGTTATGAAGAACTTCGACTCGAGCTTACACTTGACTTGGGCTTGACCTGGACTTGGAAATGGTTGGACTTGCCCACCTCTGAACTTGACAATAAAAAACAATTTAATTAAGATGTTTTTCTATAGTATTCTAGTTTAATGTAAATGGGCGTTCCTGGATGATATGTTCATATGGCATCGTTGACCATTTGTGTTATTCTATTGTCAATCTTTGTCGCAAGTTATTGGATAACAGATGTTGCAGTTACCTGACTTAACATATGGTGTAAAGGTCATGCCGTATTTCTCAGCGACGGAGCGTCGGATCACTTTGAAGCTTTTTTTGTTTGAAAGAGCAAAGTCTAGAGAACAAATTTGTCTGGCAAACAATTTTTTGTTTACCCAGTTTGAACAGTACGGCAACATTCTTTTGATTGACCTCAAAATGGTCTTGTAACGTACTTTTTTTTATTCTTTTCACTTCAGCCTAAGAAAAAAAGCTATGATTCCATAAAATGGTTATAACTCCTGAAATAAAAGATATTTTCACAATAGGCTTGTGTCATCAAACTCAACACACTTTTTTTCTACAGGACAACATTAATCAGTGCCACTATTTATTGTTGATTATTGTTGAAAAAATTTTGACAAAGATCCCAAAATCACACGAATTGGGACGAAGCGTGGTGCGCAGACATGTACGTCAATAAAAAAATTTCGACGGCGGCGAATGAAGTTTTCAACATAGGCGGTGCGAGGTTATGAAACTTTCTCCCGCCTTCGGCGGTGGCGTGAAAATTAGTTTTCGGTGGCGAATCTCCTAATTTAAGTAAAACAACGTTCTCTTTCATTTCTGGCACGTTCTTCGCGCACCAACTGTATCTGTACGTTGCCCTATACGAAAAGATAGAACAGCGCTGCACGCTAGATGCCTACACTGTAATTTGGAATTAATTTCTAGTTTATAGAAAATCAATCTGGAAAATCGTGGAGCTTTTTCTGATATTTATCAAATGCCCGTAGATTTTCTGACTTTTTAGAAATTCGCGATTTTCTATTTTCTATTTTCTAGAAAATCGATTCGATTTTCTATAAATCGAATTTTCATTTTATTCAGAAAATCGCCATAGAATTTCCAAAAATATCAAAATTCGGCGTCGATTTTATAAATACTGGAAATTCGAGTTTGATTTTCTAATATTCTAGAAAATCAATCGATTTTCTA